AAAAAAAATTTTCAAGTTCCACTAACACATTTGCCCCCAATTTAAAAAAAAATGCCCTCAATTAAAACATTTTTTCAAATTCCACTAATAAATTTGCCCCCATTTGCCCCCAATTGGGAAAAAAATTGCCTCCAATTGTAATGGCCCTAATTAAAAAAACATTTTTAAATTCCACTAACACATGTGCCCCCAATTTAAAAAACATTTTTTAATTCCACTAACACATTTGCCCCCAATTGGGAAAAAAATGCCCCCAATTATAAAAACATTTTAAAATTCCACTAACACATTTGCCCCCAATGTAAAAAAATGCCCCCAATTAAAATAAAATTTCAAATTCCACTAACACATTTGCCCCCAATTATATATAAAAAAAATGAAATGTTCTGGTCAAATGAAAGTATTACATGAATTATCAAAATTATCAATATTAAATGCTTTTATCCTCCTCGGATACTTGACAAACACTGATGCATCTATTCCTGTTACAATTTCCGCCCAAAAAGAACTGGTTTCAATATGTACGCAGAGTATACGCAACTGCAATTAACTTTTCCTTGCATTATATCCTTGCTAACACAGAAAATTTTGCTCAATGTCTTTAACTTCTAAATCGATCAGTCACTATATAGAAACCACAATTGAAAATTATCTATTTCGATTTTCAATCAGAAAAATAATGATAGTTCTTTCATTCTTGCCAGAAATGAGACCGGGGACAATTTAAATCAAACGCAACTAAACCCCAAAAGTTGATGTATATATTTTTCGGGGGTGGGGGGATATAAACATTTCGCCCCCCCCCCCCGAAAAATATCCAGTCTACGGTCCTGTTTGTATGCAGTAATTCAACGGCTATAAAAGTCTAAATTGAAGTTTAGCTTGACAGCTCATATCTCAAAATTCAGAAATGGAAGTGATAACAGCTTAACAAAGCATGGGGGGACTGCATGAAACATTAGATACAAAATACGCCACTAGGTGCCTCTGTAATCGTTTAGTTAACTGATAGTTTATTATTCTATGATATAGAACCCAAACTGAAATTATTTGTTGAATTTTAACGAATAATTTATAGATGTTTAAAAAGCAATTCAAAAATGCATCTTATGTAACAACCTGCTCTTAATCCACATAATAATGCAGTTACATAACAAATTGAATTAAACTTTGTTTAACCCACATCTTTCTGTTCTCTGTAAGTTTACAACTTCATGAAATGCATACTTTTTTTTTGAAGAATTTGAAGTGTTCTATAGTTTTAATACACATACAGGGTGTCAATCGAAACATGACAGTTAAAGAATGGTGTTCAACGTTTTTTTCAACAAATAGTTAAATGTGCGATGATTGTTTGTTGAATATTTTGAGTTTTGGTAAAGCGTAACCCTTGTACGACTATGGTAGAACGTCCTAGAAATTCACAATCACTTAAATCAAATGTGCGATGATACAGCTCAGCTAATTATTTGATGAGTAATATATTTTAAAATTTAATAAGTAGCCTTTATTTGCACAATTTCCATTCCAATACACCTTTTCCATTATTAATTGTTTGGACTGTAAGATCTTTTTAACTAATGCTACAATCCAGTCAGAGGATTTGACATTTTGGGTTTAATTGTTTCGCTTCTCTTTGCAAAATTAGTTACCTTACCAAGAATAAACCTACAAGCGTAAATTAAGAAAAACTGTCACAATCCTCACAAACACAAAATAAGTAAATGAATAAGTTTTTATTCATATAAAATTCTGTAAAAAAGAGTAAATACTGGTAAAAATATATTAACCACAGTTTCTGTTAATTTGGGTTTCAGTAAGCGTAATAATTTGTTCAGATTATACATCGTAAAAGCGTAATATTTTCTAAGGCATCATAAATTGTACTTTTTTCCCCGATTACTTTACAATTTATGATGAAACTTAAGTTTCATAAGCGTAATATTTCCAGAGGAATTGTACTTTTAAGATTTTTTGATTTCTCTACAGCCTCTGTTGGATCAATTTCCTTTTTTCATCGTAGCTGAAGTTGTTCGCCTTGAAGATTTGCGAGTTAAAGAAAGGTTGAAGATTTTGAATGTTAATCCCTCTGGCTTTATCCGCCAAATCCTTCTCGTTGATCTCAACCAATGATACCTCGGAGCTCCCGTATCTGTTCCTCATGTAGGTGGCGTGATCGTTGGCAAGTCCTCGGAGCAAGTAAAGAAGGAGCTCGTTGTTATCCTTCTTGAAGGTCATATATTTGGCAAATGTTCTAGACATACTCTTGCTTACACTATGCTTCTGTGTGCTGATAAAAGCCTCAAGTGTGACTCTGATCGCCATACTGATATCGTCCTGGGTGACAAGTTCACGAAGATGCATCTTAGCATTTGCCTCCGCCATACGGAGCATAGATTCAATATGACGCACTGTGATAGGTACACTACCAGTAGACATACTCTCTCTTCTTAGTTCACTGTAAACCTTGGCAACCTTATCCTGATCCATCTGATGCAGTTTGGGATGGATCTTCTCTCTAGCGTAGAGGATATATTTCTTGAGAAGGTCCTGGGGGATTTTCTGAACGTGAGCAAGGCTGCTTGTGTTCTCCAGTTCAGCCTCTATTTTCCTCATGTTCTCCACATCAGCCTCGTCAGCCTGAGGATGGGATCTCATGTGGCTGCCTACGACAAACTTAGCCAGGTTTTCATCTAAAATAGGATCCACTGTATCCTTGACCACACAGAGAATATCAAACCTGGAGAGAATAGGTTCAGTCAGATCTACATTCTCGCTGAAAGTCATGCTTGTATCGTATCTTCCTCCGATGGGATTAGCAGCGGCAATGACAGAACACCTAGCCTGGAGACTGGTGACAATACCAGCCTTACTGATACTAATACTCTGCTGTTCCATAGCCTCGTGAATACTGGTTCTATCCTGATCATTCATCTTGTCAAACTCGTCAATCAGACAAACTCCCTTGTCGGCTAACACTAGCGCACCAGCCTCCAAGGTCCACTCCTTGGTCACGGGGGACCGGGCCACGTAGGCGGTTAAACCGACAGCGGAGGCGCCCTGCCCCGTACTGAACACCGCCCTCGGAGCAATATTCTGAATATATTTCAAGAACTGGGATTTTGCAGTTCCAGGATCTCCGCATAGAAGAACATTAATATCCCCACGAATCTTATGTTTCTCTCCAGGGTTTTTGCTCACACCTCCAAACAGAGACAGAGCTAGCGCCCGCTTGATATCATCGTGACCAAACACAGAAGGCGCAATGCTAGCAATGATACGCTCTCCAATAGTCTCATCCTTGGATAGTGCATTGATGGCCTTGATGTCCTCGTCTGTGAGACGGTCGGCCTCCGATGCTTCGTCCTTCTTAAGAATATGATTTGCCATGATAATGGTTGTAAATACAGGGAACCCCTGCCTGGTGTTCAGGGAGCTGTCATACTGATTACTGTACACACCTAGAATAATAATTCTTAAATGCGGGTTCCATTTATTACTGGCAGAATTGTCAACATAAATCACCCCCCCCCCCTCTCCTCTGATTGAGATTTTTATCGTTGTATTTAGTGTAAATTGACTTGAGAAAAAAGTTCCACCATATTTCAGAAATTAATTCCTACATATCTCATATCTTCATTTCAAATATCATAAAATAAACCCAAAAACTTCAAATTTGTATGGTTTTATGTTCTTTGTCTAGGAACATATTCCGAATATCAGTAAAGGGGATGGTAGAGTTGGACCATTTGATGTA